CTTACATTGTTATCTTTTGCCTTATTAGAGATCTGTGCACATTAATGATCCTTCAGCGTTACGAGAGAGTCAGTCTGTTGGTGCAAGACTGATGCTGCCACTTCAAAGCTCACCTCATCAGAATCCAGCCAGGCCATTCCCTCTGTTGACTGTTTCCCTTAATGCTGAGAAGAAACCAAAGCTTATTCCATTGGCAAAACCCTTAAATAATGCAGAGGGATTTCCTTTGCTTAAGCTAAAAACAAGTTATCAATTTCAGGCACTCAATTTCTGCCCGGTAACCCCCCACAGATCTTCTGGACCATCGTCAGGACCAAGAGAAGCCTGGGGCCTCCCATCGTCTCTGGCACAAAATCCTCCTGGTTTACAGATGTCAGAACCCACAAATGAGACAGGAGCACATCTAAACCTGAACCGTTATGATCAAAATGTTACAAACCAGGCACCAGAGCAGACAAAGCGTTGGGCAGAACAGGTCAAAACAGGGATTTCCAAACAGTTTCCTGTAGATGAATATGGCATAAAGGAAGATTCAGCACCGTTGCAACCCTGCCATGAACGTCTGAGGGCAGAAAAACCATTGGTTGACCATGCAATCAATTCACATCAAGCCTATGGGCCTTTTACTGAAATCCCTTTGTTATATCTGAAGACTAGCCCACAATCCAAATGTTCACTAAGTACATTTACAACAAAAAACACAGATTGCAGAGCATCCCTTGGACAGACAGGATTACCATTGCTTCACTCTAATTTGCCTCCACTAACCAAGGTAATGGTTTTATAAAATACGTGTATTATTTTAGTGTGGATGTCCTAACAGCCCTTTCATTCAAGTTCATAAATGAAGCGTTTCTCAATTTGATTTGCTCCCCAAATATTGAAAGGGAAACTGGGATTTATTTATGATCTCTTCTGTTTTATGAACAGTTTCAGATACCGAAACTCATTCCCCTTCAAGATCTGATTGCCTTTGAACAAAGCCAGCATTCTGTTCAGTACCCACAGTATAAAGATCACCCCAAGCAGATGCAGTTATTGAAAGCTAACATTAAAGTAAATGAAACAAGACAAGTGAGGAGTAACAAGAAAAGGTAAAGACCAAATGTTTAATCCTATGTACCAAAATCTGATCGCAATTCTTGCACTAAAGAGAGAAGAACTTTTCTTCTAAAGTAACAAATGCTGCAAATCCCGTACCTGTTGGAACGGGGCCAGCAGCGTCCTCATGGACGCACGCAACACACGCATGCGTTCAAATGCCTCTGCAACGCTCCAGCTGCTCCGCGGAGTGTCACGCAGGTGCTGTACGTGAGTCTGCAACTCACCCCTGGTGTAGTTTCTCCATACGTTAAGAAAATATTGATTACATTTCTGTGTGACCTGATAGTTGATATAGCTAGTTCTATTCTCGTATTGTAGCAAGCGGTGACTCAATAGGTAAGATGCTGAGCTTGTCGATCAGAAGGTCAGCAGTTCGAATCCCTAGCTCCGCGTAATAGGGTGAGCTCCCGTCACTTGTCCCAGCTTCTGCCAACCTAGCAGTTTGAAAGCATGTACAAAATGCATGTAGAAAAATAGGGACCACTTTGGTGGGAAGGTAACAGCATTCCATGCGCCTTCGGCATTGAGTCATGCCACATGACCATGCAGACATATTTGGACAGCGCTGGCTCTTCAGCTTTGAAACTGAGATGAGCACTGCCCCCTAGAGCCAGAAACGACTAGCATACATATGCAGGGGAACTTATTCTCGTATTGTCTCACTAGCTTATTATATGTCTAGCACCATCTTCCAATCTTCCAGTCTAAGCAAAATTATCATACTGCTTTGGAAGCCCTATGGCAGATAAATAGGACTCAGTCTGGAGCATTCTGGGAATTTTTCAAACAACCT